TGTCTTCCTGACTTTCTCTCACGTTATGCGAATGATATCGACGATGACCTTTTCGAAATTGATTATGGTTTAGAGAATAAACAGAGTATACTTGCTTCCATGGTGCTACGATCTCATACAAACCGCAATCGCGCTCCCATGACTTCTGATTCTCTAAACGATGACTCGTTTCCTCCAGTGTCATCTACCTCGAGTATTCCTCCGAATGCACCATCTTCGACTACTTTTTCACCGAATACTTTTGATCCTAGTAAATTAAAAGTAGAACAAGATAGTGATCCTGTTATTCAGGCTATTCTAAGTCGGATTCGGCATCGATTTGACGTTCCCACCTTCGTGCTCAAACACGATCTACTCTATAAACTAATTCGACCTTCGCGTCGTTCTAAACATAAATTAGAAGTGATCTACTTACCGCAATCTATGACTGCATCTCTCGTTCAGACATGTCATGACGATCCTATGACAGGCGCTCATTTCTCTTTCGACCGTATTTATAATAAGATCCGTCGTCTCTACTGGTGGCCTCGTATGAAAGCTACCATAAAGTACTACCTTGACTCATGCATGTCCTGTAAGCAGTTTAATATTAGTCGTCATAAAAAGTTTGGCCATTTACGTCCTATCTCGCCACCGGATGGTCCCTTTTTGTTGATAGGTATTGACTATTGCGGTCCTTTGAAATCGACGCCGCGGGAAAATAAATATGTTTTGGTCATCACAGACTATTTCACCCGTCATATCGTTGCGGTAGCCCTCCCGAACTGCACCGCTGAAACTACTGCTCAGGCATTATTCAATGAATATTTTTGTCGTTATGGCATTCCTGCTGTTATTCTTAGTGATCAGGGATCTCATTTCCGAAACAACTCATGGCTAATATCCAACATTTGATTGGATATAACCATATTTTTAGTACTCCCTATCACCCGCAAACGAACGGGATAGTCGAGCGTTTTAATGCTACATTTGTCCCTCAGATAGCGAAACTGCAGGACTCCCAGGACAACAACTGGGATGAGTACTTGCAAGCGGTCGTGTTCGCGTATAATACAGGTACACATAAGACGACAAAATATTCTCCTTACGAGCTTCTCTATGGACGTGCTCCTCGT